ATGCACGACGAGTCTCAGAGGCACCGGAGCCTAATGCAACGAAACATCCTCCGTGCATTATCTCGCTTTGAGTGCCTCTGCAAAAAGAGAAGACCAGACTGAATTAACAGTGGCTCCATGCGAGGGAACTGCTTCCTTAATCTCTGGAGACACCCACAAAAATATTCAAAAAGCAGTTTTTAGTTATATCAAATGTTATTAAATACATATCTGGTGTTGCAAATAAACCCACCAATTTAAAATTGAATCATATCACATGAAACTTACATTAAGCCTAAGTTTATAGTCAAAGCTATATAATTCCACATTATAGTATCTCTCATCTTCCAAACCGAAGGCACAAACCAAGTACCAAACTTACTTCTCTCCTTTTCAGTAGATAACAGTTACAAAAAGGTGTAGCTCAAACATTCTGACTTTTGTGCAAGCCAATTATTTATCTACTACAAGGCCCTTGTAATTTTGCATACAAGAGTTCACGTCTGCTTTGGTAGAGCAAATACTTCAATATGGTCTATCGCAAATTAGGAACTAAATGGAATCCACTTCATTGTCGATTACCGGTTTCATTAAAATACTATATTGAGTGTGCAATGTGTTTTCAAGTGAATAGGTTGTCCACAATTTAGTCCTGGGCATTGATTGCAAGTTTACCTGCATCATGAGCCAGACGATTCACTTTCTACGAGCCCTTCAGACAAGGCCAGACTATTCACCATACCCCCACAGGCTGTCTGTGTTATGGTTCGTCTCTTATCACACCACCCTTCACTCCCTCTTGGTTCCTCGGCACAGGAATTAGCGAAAGACTATTCTCGTCATTCCTTTTCACCCTGATTAACCCTCTATTTGCTTCCCTCATCCCCCGCACCCACGGAAAACTGTTGGTGGCATGTACAGGACCCATCTTATAAGCCTCCCCAGAGCTTTTCTCCCCCCCATTAAATAGATAATCAACAATATTAAACTCACTGTCTCACCTCAGTATCGTGGCCATCTTCCTTTCATAAACATTCCGCGCTTCACTCTTCTCCTCCCACTCCCATTTTTTCTCTCTCTTTTTTACTTTTTTCCTTATATTTTTCTAAAATGCACTCGATCACCACTAGTATACCCTCCTCTCTCTACCAATAGTATATTGCGTTAGTCCTCCCAAAGCAAGGGGTTTCTTAAGGTGTACATTACTCTGCTCTCTCGCACGGCTTTAGACACACAGTTCTTAGTGCTCCACACCCCAACAGGAATCCCGGTTCCTGTCCCCGCTCCGTCTCCCCCCCCTCTGTTATACTAGGAATATCCTGCGTACACGCTCTAATTCGTTGTTCCAGTTACCTTCTCTTGCACTATTTAGGAACCCTCTTCTTGCTCCCCTTCCCACTGTCTCCTTACCCTTTTCCAACCCCTCCTCTCCCCCCATCTCTTAGTGTCCGGGTCCCGTCCCCCTACACCCTCTATATATATTCTCTCTTCTTTATCCTCACAATCGCAATCTCAAACCCCTTCTCCATTCGCTCTGTTGTCCAACTCCTCTTCGATTCTTACTCTCTTCCTTCTTCTTCTACGTACTTCCCCTGACAAAACAAGCCTCCGCATACAAATCCCTTAAATGTTCAAACGTAACACTCCCACATTCGGCTACCGGATCCTCTTCCAATCCCAGACCAAATTCTCATATCTTCTAACAGCTCTCACCCCTAAGGTTTATCCAACAAGAACTCCCTAACTTCCTGTTCCCTCATTAACTCGTTCTAGCACTAGTCGAGGGATATACAGTGCACTCGCAATTACGTCTCACGGCTTCTTAAACTTGGACGCCGTTTCTTCGGTCAATAGGCCTGCCTTTCCCTCTGGTTGTGGGAACGATCTTTGGCATCCGCGGTGGGTCTCGGTTTATGTGGAAGGTTACCACCGTAAGATCGCCCTCGCGCCAGAATGGCATGCATTCGATTCAATCGCATTCGAAAATGTCTAGACAAAACACAACGGCGAAGGATAGATTGTTATCTCGACACCATTAGATGGGAATTGTAATATTATTGTTTTCTTTCCGGAGCAGAGATGCGGAATGTGTGGTTTTGAGTGTTTACTGCAATTGGACTGACGCTGTGTTGCTTGGAGTGTTGTTCAAACTAGCGGGAGGACATGATACTCAGCACACTGACAGCATGGCGGTTCACTTGATGTATTGTCCTGGCGTATGACCGCCGCATAAGTGGTGTCGGGACACCTTAAATGTGTTTTCCCTCTGCCTTGCTGGTTTTACTATCCATCGACGCTCAGTTGTGAGCTTATTTCGGTTATTCTTGTCTGGATCACTTTTCTTCGCAGTGCATTATTACTACTTATAGATCGAGCTTTCGCACTGTATTTGGTGTCATATATTTAAGAACGCCAGTGTTAAGTTCTGGTGTTCGCTAATTCTGATTTAACTATCTCCATATCGTCTATTTCTCACTATACTTCTCTCTTTTCCCTCTCTTTATGGTACATGTTTGAATACCATTCGATCGTTTGTTGTGTTCACCATTATAATTTGCTTATTTATTCCTCTTTTGTTGTGTATTCATTGTGGGTGTTACGACGGGCGCCGCGTATTGTGTCTTCGGTTGGCTACCGTATTGTTGGTGCGTATTTATTGTTCACATTGATTCATATAATGTAGATGCTTGATTTGCCTTGTGTTCTATTCTTTAGCCACGTGTGGCTGTGTCGCCAGTCGATCGACACTCAATTTCTTTCCTACGCACGTAAGCATCTCTCTATTCTCGTGGTTATTCTCCTCGTTTCGCTCTTTTGCATATAGAGTGGATTAGCTATAAACTGCCCGGAGTACGAGACGTACGATCGATGACTATGTTGTCTTTAGTCATGGCCTAACATTCCATATACCACTACATATTCATTTGCACCCACGACGACCATTATCCACAGCTCACACATGTCGCAGCGCATCCATGGGACTGCAGCGCTAATAGGACTAGAACACGGAAGTAGGAGATATGTGGTGTGTGATGGTAGGAATGGTACGTGTTGTCTGGGCGTATATGTCTACAGGGACAAGCCTAGTGCTGGCATATATACAGAAGCAGGATGCACTTGGCGTAAGTATGAAGCAACCGCTATAATATATATCATATGGGTAGCCTATTATAGTATATACCTTACGCAGTTTACACTCGCTCTTTTCACGACACGCTATAGGTCGGCAAAAAGATAAATGGGGCTATGTATAGACCTACAAGAATAGGACTTTATTCTTCTTGCAGAAGACAGAACTCGCAGGAAGTCAAGCGTCGAAAATACACGCGTCTCTTTGGACTTTCTACGAAGAGAAACAGAAAGGATCAACATAGATCCTTATTTCCACATGAGAGCAGATTCTGTGGCTCCTGAAATATGTAGGACCGGAGCGAGCGACGTCGCACGCGTGTGTTATATGAGGGCAAAGTAATGTTTGTTGCACCATATAGTGTGAGTACGACCACGGGCACGGACCGGAATGTGGTCAGAGACTATTTATTAGGTTGTTGACGAAGGTTGAGAATATGTACATACTTTCGAGAGCGGTTTGGTGTGGTGTAGTATTCTCCAATTTCATTCTTCTGGACACGGGAAATTGTAATCCTTCGAATCTTCATATATAGCAAGAGGTCGGCCTTTTGACCCCATCTTATTGGTCATATAACGAGTGTCATTTTTCTCGTTCTTTGTTTTTTTGGTCTTTGTGGTTTTTTTTGTTCGATATCCGTTTGTTTGTTATTCAATTGGTATATTTTGCTTTTCTGTGTTGCGTCTTGCACTTTCTGGAATAATATTATATATATGTTGGTGTGCCCGTGACATTTGGATGACGTTTCTCAGATGGTTATAACGTTTCACGCGCGTTAATCCAAGTTTTATGTTAAATTCAGGGATGGCTGTTCCAAGAGTTTACGGACACTGAGGAAGATGGTCGTGTGGATGTGGTGTATTTATATGTATATATATATAATATATATGATACTGGATATTGGGAGCGATTATACTGGGCTCTTTTATAGACTCTCTTGTATATATTCATGTATTTGATTGTATTGTGTGACACTTTTTAAGGTAGTGACTTATCTTACCTAGCTTACTTATATGAGTATGGTCCATTTAGTGAGATCTTAGATATCGCTGAGTTAACTCAGTCCAGGAAGTTCGGACGCTTTAGATAAGGAGTGGAGTGATGATAAGGATATTGAGAAAGACGTGAGTACTGGGAGTAAAGAGAAAACCGCCACTTAACTTTGTATTATTATTTATTATATATATATATATAGAAGAAATTAAGCCATCTACCAATTCTGGAGGATGTTGTTAGGATTTGGACTATAGAAAGAACTGAGGAGATATAGGAGAAGCTGACATTAGAGGAGCTGTAGGAATGTAGGACTCTTATTATATAGTGTGTGACGCTAAAGGAATTAGATATTTACTTACAAACAGAAGATTAGTATATATTATGAGGCCACGAGACAAGTGCACCGACGCATGGACAAGAGCAGTTGGTGATAGTGAGTGAAGGCGAAGGAGAGGGAATGCAGGAGAGCACATATGAGGTAGAAGGTAGGAAGTATACATAGACATTATGAAAGATTGGTTAATAAACCAGATGAAGAATGATAAGAAAGAAAATCAACATCGGAAAGAGGTAGATATGTATGAGAATACAGAAGTAGGGAGGAAAGTAAATAGTTCTTGAATTTGTGGAAGAGATATAGAAAGCCAGAGAGGAGTAGGATAGATATTGAGAGAAGACGTGACGTAAGAAGTGTGAGAGTAGAAGGAGATGGAATTGTAGTGATATGTGAGAGTGAGAGAGAATAGAGAGTTAGAGACGTCAGAAGAGCAGATAGGTATAGTGTGCAAATAAATATCGATAACAAGTACTAGAACCTGATCTAAATTGGTAAACTAAACTTTATTAACAATCTGCTGTAAACCAGGTGTGCTGACCTGTTCTCGGAAAATCTGCTCTACAAAAATTTTTCTGATTTGGGTTCAAAGCCCATGTCCAACATGCGGTCTGCCTCATCAAGTACTAAATATGTACAACGGCGAAGGTTTGTTTTTCCTGCTTCTAAGAAATCAATGAGACGTCCTGGTGTGGCAATACAGATCTGAAAAAATTTAAAGAATAGTTTTTAATGTAGAAAACTTATTATAACAATTCAAGTTGCTTGGGCTGTCACATACCTATAAACTGTATAATCCTTTATCAAGAACTTCAACATACCTCAACCCCTCGTTCCAAGTCTCGAATCTGTGGTCCTTTAGGTGCGCCACCAAACACACATGTGGAGCGGATCTTTGAAGATGAACCGAAGTCTTGTGCAACTGTAAGGATCTGTTGGGCAAGTTCTCTTGTGGGAGCCAAAATGAGTGCAATAGGGCCGTCTCCCCTTTCCAAATATGGCTGGTGATTGATGTGAACAATGGCTGGTAAAATGTAACCCAGGGTCTTTCCTGAGCCGGTCTGAAAAAGGAAGATTTCTTATCCACATGTCCGATTCAAAAGATTAAACAAATACATGACTATATAACAAAGACCTAATTTCAGTTTTAAAATTATCAAGCTGATGTAAACCTTTATTTCTGTGATTCCTAACTCACCTGTGCAATACCAACAAAGTCCCTTCCTTGTAATGAAATAGGCCAGCCTTGTGCCTGAATAGGTGTAGGTGCTTCATAGCCCTGTCGACGGATTTCAGCCATTACATAGTCTGGGAAATTGTAGTCAGTGAAGTATTGAATGGGGTTGGGAATGTTCTTTCCTCTAAGTGTGATTTCCTTTTCATTTCTGGGGAATAAAAAAATATATTAATAAAGAGCTATTGGTTTATTTCCGTAACTTTTATATGCCTCAAAACAGATGTGCATTGTTTTCAAACTAACTCATCAGTTACCTGTATTGTTCCACTTCATAGGGCTGTCGGTTGACAACAACAGGTGTGGGCTGGTAAAAGTTCTTCTCGAAGGGGGCAAGTCTGGACAGGTCCCACTTTGGCTTCCGCAGGCGTTCTCCTGGCTGCCTTCCCTTCAGCGACGGCCTCCCACCTCCACCGCTGCCACCATACCCTCCACCTCGGCCCCAGTCATCCCTATCGCGTCGACCACGGTCGCGAGAGCGAGAACGAGAACGGGAGCGAGACCTAGAAGGGGACCTTGGGATTAACTATTTATAGAATTCCCTGAAATTGAAAAGCATGAATTATGTTGAATGGCCTTCTTCCACTGCTGCTGCTGCTGCTTCTGTTGCAGGAAGGAGGCTCAGCTGAAGTGCTGCAATGTCTTGCCTTGAATGCTTGATATTTTCCCACTCTTCTCTTCCATGCTGCTATCATTTCTTTTCATGGTCAACGCAGTGAAGGTGTGCCAGAAGTCTTTGGCAAAACAATAAGAGCCAGGGCCTTCCCAGAAGAAAATTTATGATCTCTCCAAGCACACACCAAGGTGATATCTAGGAACGAGTCCTTTCACAGCCACAAGACTGAGTCCAACTTGCCCAATTACTTACATTTAATGCTTTTAAGACAACCCAATTTATATCAATAAATTACTAAATGCAAGTTTTGAAAACCAGTTTCATCACATGAGTAGTTTTTGTTTTTAGTACTAATTCTAAATGTAAAACAATCAATTACTGAATGAAAAAAATTTGGTCTTTGTAAGTGAAAAAATAAATCATTTCAATATGTACTGAATCTTTTTTTTTTTTTTTTTTTTTTTTTTTTTTGAAAGCCACAATCCTGATATGATCTTGTCACTATGCTTGAAAAATGCAAACTTTGGCTTATCCACGACTAGATCTCCCAAACTCCCCAGCAGCTGGACAGATTTTCTGCAAGATTATCACTCTCTTGGCTGTGTGTTGGAGAATTCTTTGAAGCAACGAAACTCTTCACAAAAAAATCTCGTAGAAAAGACTTGTCTGGCCTTGATTCCATTACAGGCTGACTGCTTGCATGTCTTGACCAGTGAAGTGATAGGCATCATGGAATTATTCAAGGCATCAATATCATCAAGTGTAATGTTGCAGCAAAAGCACATTACTCATGGCCAGTTCAAACCAACTAACACCCACTCCCAGATAAGCAATGCGTAATAAATTATATCAGAAGTTAATGTCACTAATTTTTGCAGATGATCACACAGTGTTGCAGGCAAACCCAAGTGAATCGGTCCCGTATTTGTTGAGAAAATGTGTGCGTCATGTCAAATAATTTTAAAAAATGACTTCGTGTTCCCTTGGATTGACCTGCTGCCTTATACTTAATGATGGACCTACTTTCTTGATTCCAAATTTAAATCAATGATTGATATTTAATTTTAATCCATTGACTAAAAAACTAAAAAAAAAAATCATTTGAATGACCTATTAAAAAAAAAAAAAAAAAGCCTAGCAATAGCATTTCCTCGAAACCTTAATAAACTAAAAACATATCCATTTAAATACCCAAAAAACCCTGCAAACCC